CACCAAAGAACCATCGGTTTATAGGAAACAGGTAGATCAACATACTCTTCTTGTTGCAGTTTATGTTGATGATCTTTTTGTATCGGGAACAAGTGTGAAGTTCATTGAGGAGTTTAAGAAAGAAATGGCGTCAAAATTTGAGATGAGTGACCTTGGCAAACTGACCTACTACCTTGGGATTGAAGTTTGTCAACTTGGAGAAGGAATAACTCTAAATCAAAAACGCTATGCATTGAAGATACTAGAAGAAGCAGGAATGGCAGAATGCAACCCGGTTCATACACCAATGGAAGCAGGCTTGAAGTTGTCTAAGGCTTTGGAAGAGAAAGACATTGATGCTACAACCTATAGGAAGAATATAGGCTGTCTTCGTTACTTGCTACACACAAGACCAGACTTGTCTTATTGTGTAGGTGTGCTAAGCCGGTATATGCAAAGTCCAAAGGAGTCACACGGAGTAGCATTGAAACAATGCTTGAGGTATTTAAAGGGGACAACAACTCTTGGCTTAGTGTTTAACCGGACTATAGAGGTATCGAAGCTAATAGGTTACAGTGATAGTAGCCACAACATTGATCCAGATGACGGAAGAAGCACTATGGGACATGTGTTCTACTTTGGGAAGAGTCCAATATCGTGGTGCTCACAGAAACAAGAAGTTGTAGCAATGTCATCATGCGAGGCAGAATTCATGGCCGGAACAGAAGCTGCGAAACAAGCCATTTGGCTTCAAGATCTACTAAGTGAAATCACCGGATCATCTTGTGAGAATGTTACTATACTTATTGACAATCAATCAGCGATCGCACTCACAAAGAACCCTGTTTTCCATGGTAGAAGCAAGCATATTCATAGACGTTATCACTTCATAAGAGAATGCGTTGAGAATGGGCTAATTGAAGTTGTACATGTTCCGGGAGACGAGCAAAAGGCGGACATATTAACCAAGGCACTTGGTAGGATCAAGTTCAAGGAAATGAGGAGTCTCATTGGAGTTAAAGATATGGTACAAGATGGATTCAAGCTTAAGAGGGAGAATGTTGGTTAAGCTTGAAGATTACTTGAACCGGAAGCAACTAAACCGAGTTATGGTTTAGAGAAGATAAAGTCAAATATATTAGGAGTTATCTAATATATGTGTAATCCTAGAGAGATTAGGATTTGAGAGACTTGTATAAATAGAGAGGTTGAGTCATGACCTAATTTGTGAGAGAGTTTAAGTTTTGAGAGATTTTCTTAAACTAATAAAGGCTATTGAGTTTGTGAGTTAAATACTTTCTTTTGTTAATCGTAAGAGTTTGATCATCAAATATTGTATTCAGTAACGTCATCATCCTAATGAGAGTCACGAGTGTCACAAGATCTTTAAAACTTCTATTCTTTTCGATTTTGGCCGAATACAACTACAAAAATCAACATAGAAACATGTAGCAATATTATAAATATAAAATATTCTACCATTGTCGACTTGTCGTTACACTTGGTTAAAAAGACAAAGAAGAAAAAAGCTAAGATAAGAAGTTAAACAGCACAAACCCAATAATATATTGACACGTCGGTAGTCGGTAAATGGATAGTTGTCAATACATAATTGGTGACGTGGCTAATGAGTAGTTAAAAAAGGTACTTCGATCGGTGGTAGTGGTTACGGTGCGAGGCACGTGAGCCATGCGGTGGACGAGTGGGGACTCTTGGACGTCGCCACGGTGTTTGACGGCGGCGGAGAAAACTCCGTCCCAGATTTCGGAGAAAGCGCGGATGATGATGCCGTGGTGGTAGGGCTCGTTAAGGGATAGGAAACAGTGGAGAAGCTCTCTAAGATCGTTTTTGGAGTAAATCTCGTTCTCGAGAATCATCTGAAGCATAGACTGTCGGAAATCAAGGTAAGGGTCGTCGGAATCTTTCTCGACGGCGACAGCGGCGGTGGAAGGTGTTGCGGAGGAGGAAGAGGTGTCAGAGAACCAGTGGGAGGTGGAGGGAACGGCGGAGGAGGAGGAGGCCGTGGTGGGGGTGGAGGAGTGGCAGTGGCCGTAATTAGAGGAGTAGAGGCGGGGCTTTTTTGGGGTAGGGTTGAAAAAAGAAGACAAGCTTGGGAACTTACAGTTGCCACAGCCGATGTCTACGACAGAGACTGCCTTAAGGACCATCTTCTTCTTCTTGCTTTTGCCTGTCGTCATCGCTTGCTCTCTCTCTTTGTTTCTGTCTTACTCCAAGATGAAATAGGTTTTAGAGAGAGAGAGAGAGAGTGTGAGGGAGAAAGAGTCTACTTGGATTGGTATTAAAGGGTGCATGTGGTGACTGAGGTGGATTAATGAGAAGTAAACTCTTAGCAACAATATTTAATTTGATGTTCAAAATTTTGTGAACGTTTTTAAAAAATTAAAAGTATCGCTATATTCATGAGCATAAATGTGACATATACTTACTCCACTGATCTTATGAAAGAATTACTATCACATAGGATTATTATTTGAGTTAAGTATAATAAACTATAATGGTGTTCAATATATATCTCCCATTATTAGGTTCTAGTTGAACAATGTGTATATATATAATCTAACTTAGTTTTCTTCAAAAAATCAGATGGTTATTTTAGTATGTCTTTTTGCATTCAATCTTCAAAGAAATATTAGTTATATACTATATACTGTCCTTAATTCATTTCATACACAATCATTTTAAACAATTTCTTATTTCTTAGAACACGCACATAGGTCATACTCATAAAGTATCATTAATAATTTTTTAATATTATTTATAATGTTTGTTTATTGTTTGCGATTTTTTATGATACTCGTATTAAATATGTTTCCATTGGTGATACCGGTTTAAGTATCATAAAAAAAAGTTATTTGCAAAATCAAAAATAAATATATAAAAACATATAATTACAAAAGGTAATATTACATTAAAAAACGTAGAATATACTAAAGCAAAAAAAACATAAAATTCAAAAAAATATAAAAAAACATGATGATAAAAACAATCGCGAAGAAACGGGAAAACGAGAATGATTTTTTTTTTCAGGGAAAAACGCGTTTCCCAACACGAATCAGGAGTCGCCACGTCACCCGATACTGGGTATAAGAAGTATCACTGCATTGATTCTGATTAGGCCCAAATGTATTGTGTGATCTATTAAAAAATTACTAGAAATAGGCCCGCGCGATGCGCGGGTTTATATATTAGAAAATAGTATATGAGTTTGTGTAAAAAATAA